TAGGTATCTAGGTTCATACCTTTGGGTTAAAAGGTATGTTCAAACATTTTAAATACTTTTAAATAATTTTTGTTTAGAGAGAACCAGGCACAGAAAAACTGATCTTAAAAAGAAGCCCCGGGAGGGGTGGCTTGAGTGGCGGAGCCAGGAAGGCAGGTCCTCTAGGGCTGGTGGGAGCCACAGCTTCAGGCTGTCCCGCCCACAGGGAACTGAAATCTGGCTCCGTGAACACCTTTCTGGAGTCTTTTTCAGCCTTATTGCCAGTATGTGCTGTTTATCACAGCACAGGTATGTGGGTTCATGCAGCTCCATGGTGGAAAGAAGATTCAAAGGCACCTTAAGAATGAATTTAGCCTCATAGGACTTAAGCACTTTCCCTTTGTCTAGGGCATTTTTATTTACTCTATTTACAGTTTAGCCAGTTAATTTCATATCTTCAAAGCAACCCAAAAGGAGCTCCCAGAGATAAAATGCCAAGAGCAAATTCCTTGATTTCTCAGGTACCACGGTTTTCTGGGTTTCCTGAACCAAGTTTTGCATAGGCCTTTAATCCTTGGGAGACTCTCAGACAAGATTCACTAGGGCAATAGGAGAAACAAAAGGTATAAGAGAAACAAAAGGTGTGGATTAAACAAAGGAAGGATTAGGGGGAGGTGCTACTGTCTGGAGCCCCAGGCCAGGAGGAGCTCAGTAGGAATGCAGCCACAATGTGGTGCTGCTGATGCCTGAGAGCCCAGGAGTGAGGGAGGGAGAGGATAGGTCTCTAGGGGGCCCATATGAGCACACTCTGCCCCCACCCATGTTTGAGCCAGGAAGTGACTTCCTGATGCCCTTAGTAAAGATGGTGCTGGAACATGTGATCACTCTCTGGAGCCTGACCATGTAGTCATTTATCCCATTCCTGGCAAAGATGGTTGGCAGACATGTGTTGTTATGCCCAGATCATGGGGACATCCAAAAGACCACCATGGAGACCAGAACCCGTATGTAAAAGCAAAGAGCCTTTATTTAAGCTCGAGCTTGGTCTGTCTGTCTGTCTGATGTAGCAGTAAGAGCAGAGAGCCCTGAGCTCAGGTGGTGCGGGGTTTTTTCATAGCAGAGGTTGGGGTGAGAGGATTTCCAAGGTCCAGGACCCTGATTGGCTGACATTTGTCTAGGGATATCTTGGGAAAAGGGGAAATAGGTGTGTGCTAGGCTCAGGGACATCTGGCTATCTTGGTTAATCTTATCTAATGGTTGGAATTATTTGGGATGTCAGGTACTTCCCCTTAGATGCTGACCCATCCCTGGGTAGATCCCTGGGTGGGGTCAGCTCATGGCTTTTCCTGGATCTCGGTGTTGCCTCTCAGTAAGCCTGTCACGGCAGCTGTGTGGTCAAGCTATTTTGGGCCTCCCCGAAGTGGCTGATTAAAAATGGTGGCAGTCCAAAATGGAATAATGTTATATCTACCACCCCTTCCGCTCAGCAGCAGGCAGGGCCTGGGGTCCCCAAGCACCAGAGGGTTCCCAACCCCTATCATATCATCGCTCAGCCTGCCTGTTGGCCTGGGGCTGGGCTCAGGGCTGCTTGCCAGCAGCTGCCCAGAGAGAAGGGAGGGGAAAACTGGGGAACAGTGGTATTGAAGCCGGGCAGGAAAGAGGGAATCTCCAGGCTGTGGCATGGTAGAGCCTAAACCATGGGTCGCCCGAGCCTTGGTAGCAGCGGCAGTGGCCAAGGGAGAAGAGTGGGAAACGGAGCAGACAGAGACAGAACAGTATGAGACACCGAGTGAAAGCCTGAGGGAGTGGGTGGTAAGGGAGGGACCCAGCAGGCTGCAGCTGGGATAGGAGAGCAAACAGGATGCGGCTCGCTGGCAGAGGTTGTAAGGGGCATTAGAGGTTTGGGGGCAGGCTCATTCTCCATGAGTGAGGTAGAAGGTCCAACAGACTGAACTCCAGCATCCCAGAGGGTCAGCGAGGACTGATGAGGGCACAGATTAGTCCGTGGGTCGTCATCCAAAGATCTAGGGGCCGTGGGGTGAGTGGAGGCAAGCTGTTCCACACATCATCGCGTGGGAGCAGATGCCTGAGGGCAGAGCCCGAGACACGTGTTTGTCCAGTACCAGGACTTTTGAATAGGCTGAAAGGTGAGAAACCACAGTTGAGGTGGGAAATGGCCAGAGGGAGGGGCTTACGATCCTCCGATGGGAAGGCACAGGGTCCCAGCGTTTCTCAGGCTACAGGCAGGTAGGAGAAAGTGCCGGGAATGCCTGCCAAGTCTCGTGGCGCCAGCATTATGGAAGGACACGCGGGAGGGTTGTGAGATGGCGAGCGAGGCCTTGGGTCTGAGTGGGGGAGACACACCACACGGCGGCCGGTGGGGCACGGCGGACAGTTACACCATGCAGGCACCGCATCCGTGGGGAACGTTTTATTAAAGGCGGAGGGGAGAGGGAATAGAGAGAAGAGGGAGGGAGGGAAAGAGAGAGAAAGGAAAGCGGAGGTTCGCACAGCATCGAGAAGAGAGAGCGAGAGAGAGGAAGAGAAGGGGAGGGTTTTTCCCCCTTAAAGGGGGCTTTACGTAAGATGACATCAGGATGCTGGGCAGGTCCCAACAGCAGGGACATCTGGGGGAGTCCAGAATGGACATGACCAGACTGACTGAGCTGGGCCATGTGGGGAGGGGAAGAGAGAAGGAAGAGAGAGGGACCAGGTCCGGTATTCAGGAGGCACGAAAGTGGAGGGTAATCAAAATGGTTGGATTATTCAGCAAGAGCCTCTGGGGGAAGGGCAGCCCAGTCCCTGGGCTGGAGAGTTCAGTAAGGGGCATGGTATGCTGGTCCTACCCTGCAGCAGGGAGGGACTGAGAGATGCTGGGAGAACCCGGAGCCAGGTCCACTTTGACATATTTTTTGTTTTCCCGTGACAGGGTTTCTCTGTGTAACAGCTCTGGCTGTCCTGGAACTCGATATGTATATTTACATCCCTGCCTAAGTTTCCGCTCCCTCTTCTCCTCCCAGCCCCTCCCCCACCCCCTCTGTTCCCACTCCCCAATCCACTCCTCTTCTGTTTCTGTTCAGGAAAGGGCAGGTCTTCCACGAGTATCAGCAAGCATGTCATATCAAGTTGCAGTAAGACCAAGCAGCTCCCCTTGTATTAAGGCTGGACAAGGTGACCCAGGATGAGGAGTAGGGTCCCAAAAGCCAGTTAAAGAATCGGAGACAGCCCCTGTTCCAATGTTAGGAGTCCCACAAGAGGACCAAGCTACACAACTGTCATATATGTGCAGAGGGCCCCAGTCAGTCCACCCAGGCTCCCTGGTTGTCGGTTCAGTCTCGGTGAGCTCCTAGGAGCCAGGTTAGTTATTCTGTGAGTTTTGTTTTCTTGTGGTGCTAGAATTTGCTCAATTTGCAGACCAGCTTGGCCTTGAACTCAGATACCTGGCTGCCTCTGCCTCCAGATAAAGGCATGTGCCACCACTGCCTGCTTGCTTTAATATGTTGAATCGACACCTCAGCTGTTTGTTTCCGGTTGGGAACTCAACAATGGTAAATGGTGTTTTTGATGTAAAACTGAAAATTCAATTTTCAAGTATTTTATTGAAAAACTCTGGGAGATTTGTTGTTGTGTCCTTATCTGACTTTGATATCAGAGTGACTGGATCTGTAAAAACAGTTTGGTAGCGTTCCTTCTCTTCTGTTTTATGGAATAGTAGGGGGAGCATTGCTGTTAGTTCTTTAATGATCTGGTAAAATTTAGCAGTGAATCCATCCAGATGTGAACTTTGGATTACTGTTTTAACTTCATCGCTTGTTACAGATCTATTTATATATTCACTTAGTTTAATTTCTGTAGGTTACATGTGTTAGCACTTAGACATTCACACAGCCTTCCCTCAGGGACCAGCCTCTTCAGCTGCCGAGATGCGACACTGTCCCTGCTGCTGCTGGAGTGGTGTGCCCAAAGCAAGTGACTCTCTCCTCGCTCTCCTTCCCTCTGCTCTTGCTCTGTCATCTCTGACCTCCTAAGAAAAAACCTCTTTGCCCCACATTTTCTCCCTTTAAAATCCCTGTACTTGCAGTTAAAAAGCCCAATGGGCCTGTGGTGGTTTGAAAGAAGATGGCCCCCAAAGGAGCGGCACCAACGGGAGGTGTGGCCCTGTGAGAGAAGGTGTGGTCTTGTTGGAGGAAGTGTGTCACTGTGGAGGTGGACTTTGAGGTCTCATATGCTCAAGCCATGCCCAGTGAGACAGACCACTTCCTGTTGCCTTTGGGTCAGACCTCAGCTCCTTCTCCAGCACCATGTCTGCCTACATGCCACCATGTCACACCATGATGATAATGGAATAAATCTCTGAAACTGTAAGCCACCCCAATTAAATGTTTTCTTTATACGAGTTGCTGTAGTCATGGTGTCTCTTCACAGCAATAGAAACCCTAACTAGAACAGGGACCTACTGCCTGGTCCAAGATCTCCAGTTCTGCAATGGTCTGCTCTCTCCTGTTATGGATGGATGACTCTCCTTTCCACTATCCTCTCAGGAGCCTCTCACTTCTCAGTCCTGGCCCTCAAGGATGCCTTCTTCTCTATCTCCCCCAACACCCAGCCACAAAATATCTTTGCTTTCACCTAGACTGACCCTGACACCCACCTCTCTACCCAGCTCAGCTAGACTGTCCTACTCCGTGGGTTCTGGGACATCCACACTTATTTGGCCAGGCTCTGGCCTCTCTGATCTGCTCTCTTTATCTCTCCCCAAATCTAAACTTATACAGTATGTAAATGACCTTTTCCTCTTCAGTCTGTCCGCAAGTCAGCCAAATGGACACCTCTGCTCTTCTAAATTTCTTGTCCAGTCAGGGCTGCAGAGTCTCTTAAGGTCCAACTGTCCACTTCTCACATCATCTACTTGGAACTAACCTTTACCCCAACCCACACCTAATCCAGTGCCTTTAAGTCCCCTCTACCAAAGAGGAGATTTTTATTTTTTTTATTTTTTTACAGTCTGGGTCTTTTATTTCTTTTTGTACATTAGGCCATGAATTCATATGGAATGGGCTCCAGCAGCTGAACCCAGGTGCCCTTCTCCTTGGCTTCCTTTTTCTTCTGGTTGTTCTCTTTCACCCGCTTGAGGAAGCTGTCTCGGCTCTTAGAGTGCTTGATGTGCTCAATCCGCATGTTAGTTCTCTTGGCAAGAATCTTGCCCTTAACTTGCTTGTTCACAATGATGCCCACGGCATGCTGGGTGACATTGTAGACTCTTCGGGTTTTGCCATGGTAACACTTATGAGGCATTCCTTTTTGAACAGTGCCCATTCCCTTGATGTCTACAATATCACCTTTCTTGTAGATTCGCATGTAAGTGGCCAAAGGAACAACTCCATGCTTCCTAAAAGGCCTGGAGAACATATAGCGGGTCCCCCTCCTCTTTCCCTTTGTGTTCGTCATTTTGGCGAGTTATTGGAAGATGGCTGCCGCGGCCGAAAGCGAGGAGATTTTTACCTTTCCTAGGAATAGCTGACTTCTTACGTTCCTGGATCCCCTATTTCCCCCTCCTTACCTTCCCCCTATATAAGGCAGCTCTTAGCCCCTCACATGAACCCCTTCTCACTCCCATTCATTTCAGAAGCTAGGCCTCCCCCAAGCCCCAACACTGCACCTGCCATACCTAACCCACCCCTTCTCCCTCTGAGTAACAGGAAAAGAGAGATATGCCCTTGGGGTCCCAGCTGGGAGCTTCCTTTTACCTGTGGCATGCCTGTCAAAAACCAGTTGGACTCACCACCCAGGGATGGGCACCCTGCCTATGCTTCAGCAGCTGCCAGGCTCCTCACTTGAGAATCCCAAACACCAACTTTTGGGCCACCTACCACTGTCTTCTCCTCCCACAACCTGCCCCACCTCTTAGCATATGAAGGCTTCCAAACTCTACCTTCCTCCGCGGCCCTTTCTCCAGGTGGCATTAGTGGAAGACACCACACTTACTTTCCAATCGTGTCCACCTCTCAATGTCTCAGATCTTCTTCCCTGACCAAACACAGACCACTCTTCCTCTCATGCTGGCATTGAAACCCTAGAGGAACTACTGTCCCATCCCTCACATTCAAGAGGACACATTGTCTCAGGCCTTCTATACCTAGTACACAGACCGCAGCTCCTCTTTACATGAGGAGGCCCCAAAATCAGGCTATGTCATAGTCAGATACTGAAGTGGCTGAGGCACAGGCCCTCCCTGCCCACACCACCAACCAACAGGCTGAACTAATAGCTCTCACCTGTGCATTCCAATTGGCACAAGGGCAACCCCTAACCATCTATACAGACTCAAAATATGTGTTTCCTATCCTGCCCCACGCTGCCAACTCAGACCAAATTATGGTCATGCTAAAAGCCTCCCATCTCCCCACGGTTATAAGTGTTGCTCACTGCTGGTCCCACCAGACTGACAATTCATCATCTCTAAGGGAAATAACCGAGGTGAAGAGGTGGCTAGAGCTGCAGCCCTCAGAAGTCCAGACCCATCTCACCCTCTTCAGGGCATCCTGCCACTGTAACCCCCACCCAACACATTCTGTCCTATCTGCACCAGCTCAGCCCCCGACACCCAACACATTCTGTCCCCCTGACACCCAACACATTCTGTCCCATCTGCACCAGCTCAGCCCCTGACATTCAACACATTCTGTCCCATCTGAACCAGCTCGGTCCCGACACCCAGCACATTCTGTCCCATCTGCACCAGCTCAGCCCCTGACACCCAACACATTCTGTCCCATCTGCACCAGCTCTTTCATCCCAATAGCCAAGCCTTGTCTCACTTAGTCAAGGCCCACCTGCAGCCTACCTGAGGATTTGCATTTCTTAAGGGCTATTACTGCCTCTTGTAAAATCCGTCAAACGTCAGACTCCAACTCCAGTTATGGCAGCCCCCCATCCCTACCCACTAAGCCAGAGGCTCTCTCCCCAGAACTGACTGGCAACTTGAATTTACCCATGTGCCCATAGTCAAATGTGTTAGGTGCCTCCTGGTCTTGGTGGACACCTTCTCAGGATGGATAGAGACATTCCCTACTACCAACAAAAGGGCTCAGACAGTCTCTGACCTCCTCCTCTGGGAGATCATTTCCCACTCTGGAATCCTCGCCTCCCTCCAGTCAGACAACGGCCCTGAATTCACCTCCTATGCTTCCCAAACCCTATCTACAGCCCTCAACATCCTGTGGCATTTCCAGATCCCATACCATCTCCAGACCTCGGGAAAGACAGAATGAACTAATTGATCCTCTAACAACGGCCTTGTCAAACTGTCATAGAACTCCACCTCAGCTGGGCAAAGCTCCTCAGGCTGGGGCTCTCCCCAAGCGGCTTCTTTCCATCTTGCTGTTTGAGCCGGTGCACGGACGCCTCTTCTGACACATCTTTCACACACACCTCCCCTCTCCCTCATCACCTGCCCAACCCCTTACTCTGTCGCCTCCGCTCCCTCCTACGGAACTTTACTGACCACTGCCTACCCCAGCCCTGTGCCAACTCCTGTCTGTCTCCAGTCAACATCAGGGATCAGATCCTTCTCCTGCCTCCTGACCAACGTCCCGCATCCCTTCCTCTAAATGGCAGGGCCCCCTCAAGGTAATTCCTGTGACCCCCACAGCCACTGAGCTTGAGGGCCGCCCTCACTGGATTCACCCATCCCACCTCAAGCCCTTTCCTCCCTGACTCAAGGTAACTTCCCTTCCTACACATCATCCCGACAGCACTCTGCTCCCCCGAGTTTCAGAGGATACTGAGATCAACTGCCTGGTCCCCGGTTCCAGAAGAATGAGGCTTCGCCCTGGCAGCCATGCTGGACTCTGCTGGATTGGACATAGACTTTTCTCCTTTCCCTCCATCTGCTCCTGTCCAGGGTAACTCTCACATACGGAGATTCGAGGTTCAAGAAACCCTCACATATAATAAACAGTCCCTCCAAATAGAGTCGGGAAATCATTCCATTGCAGGCTGTCAGGAGCCAATTAGAAATATCATCACCCCTCTACCCACCCCTCCCGGATTCATTTTCTGACCTTCTTGTCTGCTTCCTCCATAACCAGACAAAAGGTTATTGTAGCAATTGGCCAGACAGATAAGAAGGCTGCTCATATTGGTCTTGCCAATATCACCACCCACATTTATATCCTCACCCCGATTCCCTCTTCTATCGACAAAATGGAGCCCTTTTTCTATATCCAGGACCTATAGAATCCCAGGTGGGAGATGGGCAATGTCGATTAACCCTACCATCTCTTCAACCCCCAACACACAGTGAGCACAATTAAAATCCAGAGAAAATATATCCCAATTACTCAACCCCTGGAGACCGAGGAAGTAGAAGAGGCTTCTCTATCAATCAACTGAGTATAGGAAAAAATAAATCCAACAGCTTCAAACAGACCCCCCAAAATGTAAGGAACAGCATGATGCCTCCAGCCCCTGGGCCCCTGAGAACCCCATATGGAAGTGGACACTTCCCTTCCTGACCCTTCTCGCTCTCCTGTTTCTACTAATCACACCCTTCTTTATCAATTTATTCTCTACATTACCCTAAGGACAAATTAAAAAAGAATTGCGAATCAAACAATCAGCTATTGTTACAGGACTACCAACTGCTAGCCACAGAGCTCGAGGCTCATGACTACCAAATAATGCCCTGATGGTGACAACCAATAGCATCCTGAGGAAGTCTAGCCCCCAGACTAGCCCCCAGCCTCCGCCTCACCATCCCTCTTCCTATTTTTTATCTTTTATAATAAAGCAAAGAGAGGAATGCTAGCATTCAGGCATTATACTGGCCTGCCCTCGGGGACCCAGCTACAGTCATTGTCAGCCATCAAGATGTGACACTGTTCCTACTGTGCCACAAGGCATCACACGCTCCTCTGCGCATGCACTGTGTCCCATCATAAAAAGCCACTGCCTTCTCTACCTGCTCTTTTTCCTTCCGCTCTCACTCAGAGGCTGCCTCTGCACACACACACACACACACACACACACACACACACACACACACACCCCACAAAAAACCTTTCACATAAGATCCATTGCACGGTGTGACTTTGTGGAACCCCTTGGCTCCAACCAGCCAAAATACTTTTCTGTCATTAAATCATTACAATATGTCTAGAAATCCAATCAGATTTTAACAAATTTTTTGGAATATAGGCTTTCGAAAGTATACCCTAATTGTGGCTGGAAGTTTTCCTGTGTCCCTGCCTGCCGGTGGTCAGGACAAATCTCCCCTTCTCTTGTCCCACAAGTAAACACACAGAGGCGTCTATTAATTAAAACTGCTCAGCCATTAGCTCAGACCTACTATTGACTAGCTCTTACACTTAAACTCAGCCCATTTCTGTTAATCTGTATGTCGCCATGTGTTCCCGTGGCTTTACCTCTGTGCTGTTGTTACATGATGCTCCCTGGATGGCGGGCTGTCGTCTCCTGACTCAGTCTTCTTCTTCCCAAAATTCTCCTTGTCTGCTTATCCTGCCTATACTTCTTGCCTAGCTACTGGACAATTAGCATTTTATTAAACTAGTGTACAAAAGCATTATTCCACAGCACCCAATGATTGTCTGAATTCACTGCTGTCTACTGTAATGTTTTTTCTTTTCTTTTTTTGAGACAGGGTTTCTCTGTGTAGCCCTGGCTGTCCTGGAACTCACTCTGTAGATCAGATTGACCTCAAATTCAGAGATCCACCTGCCTCTGCTTACTAAGTGCTGGGATTGAAGGTGTATGCCACTATCACTCAAGCACTACTGGTGTGTGTGTGTGTGTGTGTGTGTGTGTGTGTGTGTGTGTGTGTGTGTGTGTGTGTGTGTGTGTGTTTTGAGATAGGATTTCTCTATGTAGCCCTGAGTGTCCTGAAATTTGCTTTGTAGACCAAGCTGGCCTCAAACGCATAGAAATCTGCTTTCTCCTGGGCCACTATGCCTAGCTCTGACTGTGTGTTTTAATTTGGGGAACTGAAACCTTTTTCAGACTTACTATGAAAGCGATTTTCTGTTGTTTTTGTTGATGCTTGAAACTTTGCTAATTTCATGTATTTACCATTAGGGTGGTTTATTTTTCCTGTGGTCTCATGGATATGTTTCTCTTTAGTTTGTAAGATTCCTTCAGGTATCTTCTGTAGTGCTGGTTTGAATTTCTGTGTTTAGTGTAAGGGTTTTCTTCAGTTATGAAGGACAGCCATGCAGGTACAGCAGTCTGGGTTAGCAGACACTGTCATAAAGAGGCTGAAATACATTGCTTCACTCTCTCTTTATAATTTCTTAGTACTTATAATTTATAAGTGTCTAGAATACTTTGCTTTTCATTTCTGCTGCTTGGGGTTTGAAGAACTTCTTGAATTTTCCGTTGATTCCTTTTGTTTTGAAAACATTTCCAAATAGCATCTACTACTGCTTCTGTTCATTCTCTAAGACCCCAATTATAT